CACCCCCTACCCCCCCAACCCAACTACACCACACCTAGAGGGTCGTACACTTATTGCTCCTTCCACCATCATTCTCAAATTGTGCAAGGACAAAAGCCAGCACATACATTAACACCTCCATTTTTTCAAAAAAAACCCCACTTCTTCAACTATGAGAAGCAAGCATCCATGGAAAACACCCGCCATAATTTTTCTTCTCAGCTTCTCCTCCATTTGCAGAGAAGCAAGAGATCTTTCTACGCTTTCATCTACCTTCTCTCTCTTTGCTTGCTAGCTTACAACAGCGCCGCCATATTCTGTACCCAACTCCCCGTTTCGCCGGAACGACGAACCCCCACTCCCTCGCCAGAAAATGTCGCCGGAAAATCAAGAAAGTTCTTCTCCGTCCATTCGCAAGCCAAGCTCTCGTCCTCCGTACTGTACTCGGTCGCAGAAGAAAACCCAACTCCCAAAATGAACACCCATTTGCCGCTTCTTCATAAAAATCGAATCTTGGCGCCGATGATTCCGAAGCTGTTCGAAGACAGGGTGTCGGAATTTTTCGCCGGCGGCGGTTCGTTTTCGTGTAAGTTTCGTTTTTTCATGACGTGGATTTCTTCGGTGGAGTCTTTTGGTGAGAGAGAGTTCTTTGCTGTAAGCAGTTTATTCAAATCACACCCGAATGGCTGCTTAATCATAGCTTCGAGTTCACTCGACTCGGTAAACGGGTCGGAAATCTTGAAACCCTTTTCCGACAAAGGTTTTAAAGTAGCAGCAATTACCCCGGATTTCAATTATTTGTTCAATAACACCCCTGCTCAATCATGGTACAACCGGTTAATGCAGGGGAATGTGAACCCGGGAGTTGTACCTTTAGGGCAGAACTTATCGAACTTGCTCCGGTTAGGGCTGTTGTACAGATTCGGCGGCATTTACTTAGACACCGATGTGATAATCTTGAGAAGTTTCGGTGGACTGAAAAACGCGATCGGCGCACAAACCCTCGATCACGAAACGGGTAATTGGAGCCGGTTGAACAATGCCGTGATGGTATTCGATAAAGAGCATCCTCTCGTTTACAAGTTTATCGAAGAATTCGCGCTCACGTTCAACGGGAGGAAATGGGGTCACAACGGGCCTTATTTGGTTTCAAGGGTCGTTTCGAGGGTGAGCGGACGGGCCGGTTACGATTTTACCGTTTTGCCCCCGATGGCCTTTTATCCGGTGGATTGGAGTAGGATAGGGAGCCTCTTCAAGGGCCCGAGTGGGAATTTGATTCACTCGAAGTGGTTGGTTGCGAAATTGAGGCAAATTCGAAGCGAGAGCTTTGCGGTTCATCTTTGGAATAAGCAGAGTCGAAAGCTCGAAGTCGAAAAGGGGAGTGTTATTGATCATATACTAATGAGTATATAGATAGAACAATGAATTTTTTTTATTATGGTTTAATTTGCATATTCTCACTGCAAAGTGTTTGAGAAGAAATAGTTTTTTTTATTATTATTATTTTTTTTGGACAAGTTTTAGATGAATTATAGTGATATGTATTGTCTGCATTTGCCAAGCAAAATTGCTTAGAGCAATTGTTTTTGCTTTCTTGATTTAGACATACACATGATTGTAAAATTGTAGTAGTTGTTTGAGTTTATGTAAAGTATTTATTGTAAATTTGTCTTTAAATGAATAATTTTTTTTAAAGACAATCCTCATATGTTGTATGCATTTGTCAATCTTGATTTAGACATATACATGTAACATGATTGTAGAATTGTACTAAAGAGGTTGTTTGAATTTATTTAAGGGCAAAATTACCGATATACAAAAAAATCCCTTATGTTTGAATAATTACAATCACATCCCTCAGCTATGTCTTGTGAAAAAACCCCTCATTTAGTAAAAGTAAACTTGACACTTTCAAGGATGGATGTGTAAAACAGTACATAATCGAGGAATATAATTGTAATTAAAAAAACATGAGGGATTCTTTCGTAATTTAAGTATAACTTAGGGGATCACCAAAAATTTGGCATTTATTTTCGTAATTTGAGCACCCCTCAAAGTGATCAAATCGAATATAGTTTTGTGTGTATATTTTCGAATAGATACTCAGCACTCAGAGTTGCTTTTCCAGAAGTGGGAACTAGCTAATTTCCATGGCCCACATCTAAAAAATAATGTCACATATACTTTTATGCAATTTGTTGCAACCACATATGAAATATCTTCTATTTAGTTACTTTAAATGTTACACAAATTATTAGAAAATTAAATTAGTTAATCTGCAATAACAATTATGTTATTCCATGTAAATTTGATGGTGTGCTAGAAGTTGAGTCATGCATATTGTTTGAGTACTTAGTTGAAACACGAAATTATGTTTCTTCATTTCTTTATTTAAGGGTAAATAGCATTTAACCCCATGTGGTTTGAATTTTGTGCACATGATCCCCTTGTATTTTAACTATAAATCACATAACCTCCTATGGTATTTCACAAGAGGGTTATGTGTTTATATTGAAAGTATAAAGGGTCATGTGCATAAAGTTCAAACTACAGGGGTCATGCGATAATATCGAAAGTATAAAAGGGTCATGTGCACCAAGTTCAAACTACTGGGGGTTTAAATGCTATTTACCATTTCTTTAAAAAATTTGAACAACTGCATGATTTAATTTTCTTTATAATAAAATCATGATTATTTCAATAAAAAGTGCCTATCTCAATTATGTGAAATTTGTGCTTATAGAATACTAGTAACTCACCCGTGCGATGCACGGGATCAATTCTTAATTCAATTTTTTTTAATGATTAAAACACGTCGATGATGTAAATCAAACACTTTTGCGAGTGAAAATAAGATTCTAATGCGATGCATGTGGGTAATATAAAAAATAAAAATAGGTTTTAGATAAAATAATTGAACGAAAACTTTGAATAATTGATATATAATACGGTATAATCTAATTTTTTAAAACCGATATCAGTTTCATTTGATTTAAGTACCGAGATAAAAGAAATAAATGATAAAGAAAATATAAAATACGAAAAAAAGTGATATAAAAATAAGATACATTATCTGACCCATGGTACAACTATCCCGTCCCATACATTCGGATCCTTAACAGGAAACTTAATTATCAAATCAGTATTTTACAATACGTGCATTGACATCTAATATACCTTTTGAGTAACATGCACATTTTTCATTGTTCAAATGCAATAAGTGATACACATTAGTGAAACACAAATCACTTAAAAGTGTAAGAAATAAATGTTGGGTTTCGGGCACGCATACGCAGCGGAAAACAAAAATTTTACGTGATTTAAACCACTTTAAAGCACACAAGTACATGCCCGACAAATTAAATCAATTAATTGCGTACCTTTGCGCTTCCAGCGAAATTAAAAACAACATACATGCTAATAAATTTAACCGAATTTAAATCAATTAACATGCTCGCAATTTAAACCAAATAACATGCTCGCAACGATTTAATCGATTACACATAATCACATAAAATCATACAAACACAAGCATGAAATCATAGTTTAAATTAAACCCTAAAACGAAACTAGGGTTTCGAGTATTTACCTCTTGACGCGTGAGGTAGGAGCGAACGATTCGTCGTGATTACTACGGAAACCAATCCGTAGAATCGGGGCAGCAATGGAGCAGCAGCAGCGGCGGTGTGGCAGCTCACGGCGGCGCGTGTACAGCACGCGCGGTTATGCGAGGCGGCGCGTGGGGCAGCGTGCGGCTTCGGCTCGTGCGTTGCTCCTCGATTCTTCGATCTACGGTCTTCCTCCTCTCGGATTTCACCTCGTATACTTCGATCTACTAAATCGTGGCACTAGACACGAAGTAGTTAGAATAAAACGGAAAGAAAATAAAGGAGAAAGAATACCGAACAAAAGCCGGCCGAGGAACGGCCGTTTCCGGCGACGGAGCGGCGGTGGTGGCGCGGTGGTGGCCGCGCGGAAGAGAGGGCGAGAGAGAGAGGGTGGCCGATTAGGGTTAGGGTTTTTTTTTTTGTGTGTGTGTGCTAGGGTTATAAATCATGTATTTATAGTCCCTAGCATGAAACCCTAGCGGGCTTAAGTTGGACTGGGCCCAACAGCTTAAGCTCGTTAGTTTCTTTAATCGCTCGTATCTCTCAATTCAATGATCGAAAAATTGTAACGATTACCATTTCCGAGTCATTATAATTTTCTCGTCATTACGAGTGCCATCTCTTATTTTCCAACTTTCCAAAAGTGGAAACCCTAGTTCAGTGGACTTTCTAAATTTGGAAACTTCCCGATTTAGAAAGTTCACTAACATGTTCGCTTATTCTTTTCCTTTTCTTATTCTCATTCATAATTCCAAATTACGAATGTTGGACTCAATCATATTGACTTCCAATTATGCAAAGATAAACTATTTTATCTCTGACCGTTTATTCAAAGATCTCATGTGCACGAGCAGTGTGACCCTCGATGGTTCAGGTGTAAGCTAGCCGTGGGCCCACAACTCTTTGTGGTCAAAACTCGTCCCCTTCGAGTTACAATTAAGATGAAGCTCGTTTCACCTTAATCACCCAACGAATCAAGATTGGCGTCTAGCAACTACGCGTCATGATTCCCTAGATACAAATGAAGTGCCTGCAAGAACCTTCAGATATAGTTAACGTACAGTACGGTCCCTTCGATTCATATGTCCCGATCGAACTAGAGGCATTGGTTCATCGAGACCTCTTTATATGTTCAATAACGGTGCGATCGTTCTAGGTGTTGTAATCGTTACGTGCATGACTTAGAGAATCGAATCCTCTAATCATCACTTAGTCAGCTCTGGCCAGAGACTTAGAATGAATACAAACTTTCAGAACACACAGGACATCCAAGACTATTCTAGCGATCGAATCCCCGACTACAATGCACAGACCTCCCACTAGATTTCGGACTGCACGAACACCGGCCCTTGGGATGGTCCTCGGTGGAACTCAGGGACAGGTCACGATACAGCTGGTCCTCTAGTGAAGTCACGGTGATGTCTAGGTCATAAGGACTAATGGTGTACAACTATACCATAGATATCTCTACTCGATTATTGGGAACCACTTAGAGATTTCTAGGGTGAGGGAGTTCAGTGAACTCGTCAACTTACGAGCACCCACTTGTGCATGCCGATATCACAATACCGTTTACTGATGAGATGCAGTACACATACACTAAGTGCTAGTCTTAATGGGAAAGGCCGATATCCTCATTAGTGGCGTAACCCTTCGACTAGGAACACGTTTAACAGTTATAATACTTAAGTAAATATCTCACGATCCTTACGATCAATTACTAGTACTTGTAATAACTGTAAGGACTATATCTATGCTTGTGACAAAGGGACAAAGATATAGAATGCCAATGTGTTTTATCATTAATACGAATAAAGGTTCGTTTATTACAATAATAAATACGAAAGACCACAGCCACAAGTTGGCTTGTTGGTCACCTACTCTAACAATAAATACAATTTATACTAAAGTACATTGATTTAAACAAAAAAAAAATCAGTGGAGTCGACAATAAAGTTAGCATAAACAGCAAATAAACTTAACACGATAAAATAATTATACATATAAATAATACAAACAACAAATGTCTATTTGAATCACAATATACAATTTATATGATGTACATTCATATTCCCTGAAAAACTTCCTTGTAAACAACATTGCAAGTAATATTAGTCTCCTATTTCAGCTTGATAACCAAAAAAAAAAATATATATATATATACTAATACTAATACTCATATTGATATTCATACTGATATTACTATTGATACTACCACTAACACTAATATTGATAAACATACTAATATTGATACTACTACTGATACTAATGATGATACTGATACTGATAATCGTGGTGATACAAAAACTGATACTTATACTCATACTAACACTGATAATGATATTGATATTGATACTGATATTGATACTAATATTGATACTCATACTAATACTAATATAATATTGATACGCACACTCATATTAATACTTATACTGGTATTGATATTGACATTGATACTAATATGATACTAATATTGGTACTGAAACTAATACTGTTAATACTGATACTGATATTAATATTGCTACTGAAATTGAGACTAATATTGATACTGATAATAAAACTAATCATCATACATATACTCATATTGATACTAATATTAAAACTCATATTGATACTAATATTGGTACTCGTATTAATACATTGATACTCATACTCATACTAATATTTATACTTATACTGATACATTGATACTCATACTCATACTGATATTTATATTTATACTTATACTGATACTTATATTGATACCGATGTTAACATTGATACTGCTACTGATACTATTAATGATACTAATACTGATAATCATGCTCATATTCATACTGATACTCATATTGATACTCAAACTAATATTGAAACTGATATTGATATTAATAATGATACTATTACATACACAAATATTGATATTGATATTGAAATTGCTACTTATATTGATACTCAAACTAATACTATTACTAAAAATATACTAATACTGATACGGATACTCATATTGATATTAAATACTAAAACTTGTACTGGTTATTAAATTGATACTCAAATTGATACCGATTATATTGATACCGATATTCACACTGATAAGCATACTTATACTTAT